CATGTGCCTTAGAGGTGAAAGGGATGTGAAGGGTGAACCTGAGTCCTCTCTGCCAGGAGATCCCTTCAGCGATCACTCACAACTGGAAAAACGAGGAGACATTAAGGAAAGGTTGGCAGCACAGGCAGGAGGAATAGTCATAAGGGTTTATGCAGACTGACAAGGAATAACTGCCAGCTTGCTGGGAATTCCATGTAAACCTTCATGGGCTTTCACATCTATTTGCAGATCCAAGAGAGGTGTCAGGTGAAACAACAAGGATGAGGTGGAGAAGGAAATGGTACACAAGGTGGGACCAAGGCATGGCTGGGGTGCTCAGCATCCCAGGCAAGATGGGACTGAGGCATGGCCAGCATGCTCAGTATCCCAGGTGAGGTGGGACCGGGGCTCTCTGGGGCTCGGACATCTCTGTTCTGTTATCTTCACCTTCAGCCCACCAGACAAAAAGTGCTGCTGAATTAACCCCTTGGGAAGCAACAGCAAAATAAATACAGAGCCCATGTGCAAACATCCAGGCATGTTTTGTGAACACGACTCCAATCCAGAGGCATTTTGCTGGTTTTCATCCCCAGCCTCTGCCTTTGAAACAGACCATGCCCTGCTCACCCCCAGCCCCCGCCACTGCTCTCACCTGTGGGCCCATCCAGGCCACCCCTGGTCCTGGGTGCATTTTTTGGAAGCATCCTCCTCCACAGGCCAGTCTCCACGCCGTGCCCACGGGGCAGCAGAAACACCGCTCGAGGCTGTGCCGCTTACCATCCTTGCTGTGGGCGGGGATGCTCTCCACAGCCTGCATCCCGCTTCTCTTGCTGCTCCCCTTGCTCCAGCCCTGCACTGAGAGTCCTGCCAGCGCCCACAGCGTGTGCATGGCTCAGCACAGCCTGGGAAGGGATGCTGAGCTCCAGAGAGGGTCTGTGGAAACCTCTGCTCAGGCCTCCCCAGGACGCTGGGAGCCGGCTGGGATGGTGTGGCTGTGCTGGCAGCAGCAGCAGGTCCCTGGGGTGGGATGCTTCACCACACTTTTCCACACGTGGTGCCACACTCCTGGCACACCGGCATTGGAAAATTGTTGCCTTTTCATCAAGAGCTTTGTCACTCTGTTCCAGCCTCAGGGGTCTCTGAGTGAAGCCCCTGCAGTTCTCCTCTTCCCTTATTAAGGGCCAGTAAATGCTGTTGTAAAGATGGTCCGTGATGGTGCCTGGTACCAGGAGGGTCCCAGTGCTGATGCAGAACCAGGGCAGCAAGACCCTCCAGGGATGCTCCACTCACCACCAGCCTTCCCAGCGAGTGAAGGCAGAGGGTGGCTTCCTGTGCCCAGTGTCTCCTTCACTGCCGAATTTCTCACCCCATATAAACCACTTGTGGTTCTGTCCCATCCGTGACCAGAGGCAGAGAAAGCACCATCCCCTCCACTCCCATCTGCCAGTGCATTAAGAGAATGAGAGCTGATTAACGTCCATCCCCTCCCGAGCACCATTGGTCCCCAGCAAATTGCTGACACCACCGATTTAGGGGCAGTGGCAGACAGGTGGACTTCCCTCCCTCTGCAGACATCCAGACTTGGATGGGTTGCTCAGGTCTGAGCATTTGCTATATTCAAAAGAAGTGCTTTAATTGCACAGAATGAGCGTGTTAATCAGACATTTAATTTTATCACCTATTAAAAGGTTGTTTCAGGCAGTGCCTTTGCTTGCAGACCTGCTCCTCCACCGCACAGCAGGCGAGGATGCCAGGGTGGGATGGGAAGGAGCTCATGTGCCCACACCACCCCATCAACCCGCAGAGGCTGGAAGGCCCCTGTAGCACCAAAAACTCTCCTGTTTCTCAAGGCAGGCCAGCTGGAAAGCCCCATTTCCCTCCCATTAATCTCCACCTGCCAGCACTTTCTAGAAGGCAGTTAAGAGCAGTGAAACTGGGGAGATTTGCAAAATAAACAGCGATCAAACGCAAAGCCCTGGGTTCCTGCTCCGAGGGTGTCTGCCAAGACACACAGATCGTATCAGGCTAATTTACAAAAGGAAAACCGCCCTAATTAGTGTTCAGGAAAGCACTTTAATGAGAAAAGCATTAGTGCAAAAAGCGAGAGTGCCAAGAGGTCAAGCTGTTCCTAAATGTCAGAAAACCAGGAAACGGGGCAGAGCCCACCCAGGATGCAGCACCATTTTCTCACTTTTTAAATGATGTCTCAGGTTATTAATGAGGAATTCATAAAACCCAGAGCCAAATGCCCGGTGGCAGGGCAGAGCCTGTACACAACAAGCTCTGAGCATCGCGATGCCGGGTGTGGGCAGGGCTCGGAAGTCCCTGCAGCCGCCTCCCCTCCTTTTTGGGGCAGAGTGCGGGTTTTATGGCTGGAGTTCCCCCCCTTGTGAAGGGCAGACCAGAAGCTCTGTCAACGCTTCCAGTCCCGTCTCGCTGGCGGCTCTGACGGTGGCCAGTAACCATGGCAGCGGAGGGGTTTTCACGTGATGTTGGTATTTCTGCAGCACAAAAGAGCCTCTTATCTAGAATGAGTAACTAGTCTGGCTGGTCTTCATTCCTTCGGTTACTGCTAAGACAGAGCAGCACGGGGCGGCTCATGTGATGCCCACCCTGGGGCCATTTCGGACCATCCACGTGATGCTCATCCTGGGGTGAATCCGGACCATCCACGAGGAGACACGTGGGAGGCTCCAGAAGGCCCCGATATTCGCGCAGGGGGCCAGGGCAGCAGTCCCGCTGTGTGGAGGCAGAGCCCTCCTCCCCAGCTCTTCTGACAGATAGAGCTGGGAAGGGAGCAGTGGCTGTCCCGGCAAGCTCAAGTTTTCAAAGTGAGCACCTGCAAAACCGTGTGAAGCACTTTAGGGATGTGACAGCCCAGAGCAGGCAGGGATGTTCCCTGGCCACCCCATAACATCAATCCCCACAACCTGATTTATCTCACTTCTCCAGTTGTTTATGTTTCTTCTCAAATCCCTTCCAGTTTGTCCAAGAAAGAAATTTTGAGACTTTAACTGTTTGACTTCCAGCTCTTCTCATGTGTCAAGTGATTTCTAAAAGCAGGAAAAGCTACATGAAATAATGTGGGTTTCTGGGCTTCTCTTCTTCAGATGAACTCACACCCAACTCACTGATATTGTGCAGGTGTCCTTAAGACATTCACCCTATGACATGAACCAAGGTGGGCGAGTTTCATCCTAAAACAAGAATAGGTAAATGAGGAAAGAATGATAAAAGGAAAAAAGTCATCAAGCCTGAGCTCAGCCTAAGCTGAGCTGTTAATAAACACTAGCATGGGCACCTGTGGGCTTGTGAACCTCTGTGTGACCCCTTCCCAAACGGTGGTCTGGCTGTTTTTCAGGCTGTTAACTCCAGTGGGACCATTTCTGCACTTAAAAGGTGCTGCTTGCTCGGGACAGAGAAAACCAGAGTTGTGTTAGCTCCATTTTAGAGGAAGGTAAAAGGGATTCGGAGGGGTTTATACGCAACTGTGACTCAAAGCAGAGCTACACATGGGAAAAAAGTATATATAGGCAGAAAAAGTGGGTTACAGACTGTTCCCTGAACTAGGACTGTGTCCTGCTGGTTAAGGTCTTCAGGCTTCAAGGTTAAAGTGCTTAATTTTATTTCAGGCTTTCTAATTGAACACCATTTAACTGGGCTTTCCATTTATCCTGAAATTTCTTTCTGGACCTGAGTCTAATCCTCAAACCTGCTTATTTGCTTTTACTTTCGTTACAACCTTATCAGTGATTAACCTGCAATTGCACTTAATCTTTTTAAAAGATTGCTCTGGCTATAAATACAGAGAAGCTACCTGCCCTGTTTCTATCCAAAGGAAACAACTTCCTTCACCATCAGATGCCTGTGTGGGTTATACTATTCCTTCTGTAAGCTGATTTTTTTTAAAGGGAGACATTTGTCTTCTTTAACTTCATACAGAGCATTGAATCAGTATCAGTTCTCTGAAAGACATAACAGCACAGGTCACAGGGAATATGAATATAAAAAGTATATATATGTATTTATATTAACACTTTTATATATGTAAACAGTATATATAAAGCCACCAGTAAAGATACTCTTGTGATAGTGAGGCAAAACCCATCACATTCCTACAGCTCCAACAGCAAGCTCTGCTTCCTCCTCCAGCAGTCCTCTATTCCACGTATTGCACTAAAAAGCAGCAACAGCTAAAATACCACTGCAAGAAAACCTGGTTTCTATGGCAATAAGCAGCTGCCTGGCAAGATCCCTCAAGTACTGCATTCATATTATTAGAGGATCTCATATCAGATAGACCCAAGACTTGAGGACACCAGGTGGAAGGAGCAAAAGCTGATAAGAAATGCAGTAAAGGTACATGGAGCATTACCAAATCCATCAGGAACGTTCCAAGGGCAGTTGTAGGGAACACAAAGTGATAAGTGTCCACTGCAAGATACTTGCTGGAACAAATGCAAAGAAGCCCATTGCAAATACAACAGAACTGGTAAATGAGTGGAATTACAAAATTCAGCAGAAAGCCAGCTCATGGCAACCCCCAAACCAAGAGGCACTGAAGTCTCCTCAGCCTCCCTGTCACTTCTAAATAGTCCTGCACAGCAAATAGATCTGAGCTCAACTCCCCAGCCCAGCCTGTAAGCCCAGCCCTACCTTGACCTTAATTATTACCTGGAGAATAATCCCTCCAAAGAACTAAAGCCGTAAACAGACCGCAGAGAAGGATAATTTCAGATGTCCCTGTGCTTCCAGAATTACCAGCTGTGTATCCATCACCATCTCATGCTGCATGTTGAAAACTAAGATCTTCAAGCAATGTTTGCCATTTAAGAAGGAATTTTTCCCTCCTGCTGGTGATTAAAATAAAAATTACAATTGTTCTGCCAGTATTATGTGACCTCTAAATTATTTATTGGAAAATCTGAACTGCATGTTCAGGACTTTCTGGCTCTGTTGGTGCATCAGTGAGCAAAAAGTGGGAAAACAACTGGAATGCTGAAATAAATCCACAGCAAATGAACGGTAATTTATGTGGTGTTTATTGTAGATACAGTGAATTATGAAAGCCAGTACACCCCACTATTTATTTAAATGCTTTTTCTAAACTGTACCAAACCATAGCAGCAAATCAAAGCCTCAGTTTGACTTTGCACATTTCCTGGTTTGATTATATAAATGTTTATAGAGTGAAAAGAAAATACTTTGCACTCTGCACGGAAACCTTCCACCCTGCAGGAAACCACTTGCAAATGACTGAGGACGAGAAACATTCAGGGAGGTTTGGGTGAGTGCAGCCTCTCCCCTGCAATGTGAAGGGCAGTGGTGCCTTCAGACCCTCCTGCAGTAGAATGGAGCTCATTAAATTTGTTTAAAAGAAAGCAAGCCGTTGTTAATTAATGCTAACATCTATTCTGGCTTTTTCTGCCACAGAAAGAGAGGGGGGAAAAAGCAATGAAAGAAGAGGATCCCGAAGGAGGTGAAGGTCAGCCCTAGGCTGCTGGTGGGAAGAGGGATCACCCAGGAGGGTGATGCCAGAGGTGACACCCTTCACAAACAGCCCAGCTATCTCACAGCCAGACCTGTGGAACCTGCAGCACTGCTCACAGGATTTGCTGAACACCTGAGAAGCCCCTTGGCTGAGGAGATGGGGCTGCTCCCTGCGGCAAAACCTGCCCCAGCTTTTCCTCCAGAGGATGGAAACTGTCTCCTCTCAACAGAGCCAGCGGTGCTGTGGGGGTGTGGTGAGCAAAAACCTTGGGGAGGATCTGCAGTGCCTCATTTGGTGCCATCTCACTTCTCACCACATCTCAGCTCACCAGCAGCTGCTCTGGTTGGTGCTGGGCCTGAGGAAGAAGAGGACCTGGTGGTGCTGGGAGAAGATCAGACACCTTGAGCCATCAGCTGGGTGTGCTGGCTGCTAATCAGATGTTCACCTTCCCTTCCAGTGCCCAGTCCCAGCACTGGGAGAGTGTCTTCACAAGTGCCCTGTTGCAGTGATGAGCAATACCAGCGTGGCTTCTGCATGGGAAATGTGGCCAAGAGCCAGTCAAGTGACTGAAGGGCTGGAAATCAGCTGCTGGAAAAGTGGATGTCACTGAGGTCCAGCAGTGATGGTTGTGCAGAGTTGCTTGTGTGATACAGACTCTGAAACACTGTCTGGGAGAGGAGAGCACTTACTGCACTTCTCTTTCCCCTCCCAGCTGGGAACCAACTCAGCTTCTCCCTTCCTGCCCTCTGTTTATCTCTCCCAGCAGCGGCAGGTTGGTGCACCCACAGAAACCCAGGGCTAGAAAGGAACTCCAGGAACATCCAGGATTGTGCTTCTCCATCCCTGAAAGATGCTCATCAAATCTCTCCACGAGAGCCTGCAGCGACGGAGACCCCACCACCTTCCCGGGGTGGATTGCTGGCAGGAACTCTTCCCAGTGGCAAACCCAAGGTGGCCTTGGCACCACGCAGAGACCCTCAAGTACCTTGCAGACTCTGCACTCGGGGACAGACCTTGGCATTCTTGTGACAGTGTGATCTGCTCCACGCTTGGCTTGTGAGCATAGTCCGCATCCTTTCCGGATGAATCACTCTCCACTGCTGCTGTCAACCTTGAGCCCAACAGAGAAACCTTGTTATTTTTTTTTCCCCCTGGTTGTTTCTGGCCAAGCAGTGACTCAGCTGTCCGAGGTGAATAACTCTTCACGCTTTATCCGAACACTCATTAACCACCCAGAGCCATAAAAAGCAATTTCTTCCAGAGCTCCCCCTCCACAAAGCTGGATTTCAAAGCAAGAGGGCTGGCCTGAGATTTAGTGGGAAATTCATAAAGATGCTCAATAAATATTGATCTGCAGAGCATGGAAGCCTTGTGTGGTTCTGGGTCAAATGGCAGAGGGTTTTATCAGCAGGGAATGAGGGTCTGGACAGAAAAGAGAGGCAGATCCTACCCGCAGCGCATTGCAAAGCCTACAGCCACTGCATGGAAATCATTAACAGCAAAAATCTGCTACCCCAGGCATTTGCCTGACTCCTACGCCTGCCCCAGGACGTGCTGCTGTTTCATTTCTCTCCTTTTTCTTTGTCTTCTTTCTCTGAAATCTCAGCAGCGAGGATTTCCTCATCTTCTTGTGCCGTGGGAATCACACGAACGGTGACTAAATGATCAGAAGATTCTGAGGATATTTCTCCCGGGTGGGTTTGCACTTTATGGGAGGTGACAGGCGATCTCTGGTGCACTGGTGACTTTGGTGGGGTTGGGCTGAAACTGGAACCCTGCAATAAAAACAAACAAAAAAGGCAAAATCAACCTTAGCAGATGCTTGCCCAGTACCCCCAACAGAGTGTCTGCACTGTGCAAAGACAGGCAGCTGTTCTATGGTTCCACCACAGACATTGGGATGTCAGTTTGTTGCCAGAGTTGCCCCCTGCAAGAGGGGCAGCTGGATTATGTCCTGCATGTCTTGAGAAACACATAGAGAGGAGTGCAACAGAGCCTTCTCACACCTCCTGCACTAGCTCTTGCTTTGCTCCTGAAGCATCTGGAGGGGCTGATCTGGGCTAAACGTGGCAGAAGTGGTGTTGTGAGGGAGCAGCCCCAGACTGCCCTGTCCTCCTTTAGAGAGGAGCCCTGGAAATGTGTCCTAAAGATCTGCTACGGCGAGGGATGTCTTTCCAGCAGTGGGGTCCTGCTAACCCATTAGTGGGGTTGGTTCCCAAAATGTGCACCCTTCAGTGACAGGTCTTGTTGCCACTTCCCTGTGGAGCCCGAAGTGCTTCTGTTCACCACTGCCATGAACTGGTCATGAATCAGTGTTCAACACCACATCTGTGAAGCCTCTGTTGTGCCTCTGTGAAGGCCTGCAGAAATGCAGCTATGCCTGGCATCTCCCTGGCTGTTTACCCGGCCTCAAGGCCACCCCTCCCTATCATCTGCTCTTCCACCTCCCTCTACGTGCCCAGATGTGATAGCCTGCATGTTCCATGCTGGGGAGAGCAACAACAAGACAAAACTTTGTTTTCAAGTTTAGCTGAGACAGTTGAAAGAAAAAAAGAAAAAAAAAAAGCAGGGGGTTTCATGCAGAGCTGGCAGGACAGCAGTGCCTGCTGTGGGGGCCTCTGCCCCAGCTGTGCCAGGAAAGCTTTGATATATTGACTGGGCTGTGGGTGCTCAGTGCCAGCACTGCCCTCTGTCCCGCCAGCACATCGATTAATTACGAGAGGCTCTGTCTCTGCAGGATGGAAGAGGCATTCATTCCATCTGTGGCTATAGCCCAGCTAGAAATTACACTCAGGCTTAGCAGAGCTAGGCAAAAAGTCAGTGTACTACCCTTCTGTGTTGCAAAATAAACCCCTGTGGGACACTGGCATTCTCCCAAGGCCTTGTTGGAGATGTTGGGTCACCCCTTCCCATCTGCCCACGCTGTGTCAGTCCCCAATGACCTGAGCTCACTTCTTTAAGGCACCTTAACGAGTCTGAAGCCCATGGGGGGGGGGGAGCAGAGAATCAGCATCTGATGAAGCAAAGCTAAACTTCCATCCTTCCCGCGCTGACCTGCGCCGCCTGCATCTCCTTCAGCTCCCTCAGCCTCCAGCGGAGCCGCCCCAGCGGCCCTTTGCCCCCCATCCTCCCTGTGGCAGCCAGGGCAGCCTTGAAGAGCTTCGGGGTCTCAGCTTTCGGGGGAATGATCAGCGCGTCTCCAGGGCCTCCCTTCTCATCTTTGGGTTTGTTGTTGCTTTTCAGCATTTTCCTGCGGCAAGGAAAGGGAGAGATGATGTCAGCCCGTGTTCTATTAGCTGGATTTTATAGCGAGGAAAAAACAGGTGTTAAAAGGGCAGGGATTTGTTATGCCTTAGGAATAACAATGCTAAATAATGCTAAAACCTAAATACTTTAATAGATTTTTAAACGAAGGCACTCTGGCCACGTTCGTTCCCCAGCTCCACCCGCTTTTAGTGGCGAAGGTTCAGAGCAGGGCTGGGGCATCCCCAGCCTCCCCAGCCCAGCGACGAGGGACGGGTGCCCTCTGCCGAGGCACAGCGGATCCAGCCCGGAGCGGGAGCCGCCTCTGGGAGAGAGAACCCAGCACCTGCAGCAGGAGCTTTCCCGGGGCTTCTCACAGAGGGAAACCTCCCCTGAGGTTCTGATATCCAGGCTCTGCTATTTTTAAAAACCCCACGCACTTGGCCTTCTTACGCAGCAGCTTCTGAGACTCCGGGTAGTGCACCAAAATCTCGTTCAAGTCCTTCTTCTCCAGAATGAAAAGGTTCGCGAAGCCGTGAGCTATGACGTTTGCTGTCCGGCGATTCCCCCCTCCCGCCGCCAGCAAGCTGAGAGAGACACGGCAAGACGTCAGTGCTTCTGTTCACAGGCTCAGCACAACTTCAGGTCTCCCTTTACGTCTCCATCTCTCTCTCTCTCAGAGTACTCAGAGTGCAATTTTCACTCCCGATGGAATTTCCCATATCTAATTTTTGAAGGAAATTTGCATACTGCACTATGTAAAAAATTATTTGGGGGTTTGAAGGGTTAAATGTTGCGTTTTACACCAGTCTAGTGGCTGCTGGGCTGTAGGGAGGCAGCAGCATCCCTGTGTTACAGACTGGTACAGGACATTACATGCCCATGAAATGGGCGGATTAAATGGTTGTGGGGCTGTTTTTGTGAAACATCTTTTCTTACTCATTTCCTCACCCCTCCATCCATACACCTCTGCTTAACATCACCAGCTCCCCAGGCTGAAAACAACATGATGACAAAAACAGCAGAAAAGCTCAGAGAAAAAAAACCCTGTAATCTGTGTCTCAGCCGCTGCCCAGTGTTCACGGCTCTTAATCACAAATATAGCTGGGATGCTGCTGATCCTTCCACTTCCCACCTTCCTCTCCCAGAGCCCACGAGCTCTATTTCCCTGTTTCCCCAAAAATGCTTCTCTCACCTTATTTCTCCAAACACGGATCCAGCTTTCAGAGTCACCAGCACGGATTTGCCGTCGGGTCCCCCCAGCACCTGCACTTGTCCCGCCTGGATAATGTACATCTCGCGGCCTATTTCTCCCTGCAGGGAAGAGGGGTGCTGGGGGGGATGCCCAGAAACAGGGAGGCCTCATGGATGCCCTAACCAGCATCTCCCATGACCATACTGCCCTCTCCAAGCTCCCAAAATTCTTTGTCTTGATGGTGTTTACTCCCGAGCACCATCTAAGCACCCCAAGGTCTCCTGCTCTTCCCTGGTCTCCTGCTGTTAATGGCTGCAGCCAAGGATATTTTTGCTCCAAATTCCCTCCCTGTGAAGTGGCTCAACACCAGGGTGATGGGCCAGGCCTGGCTTTCCCCTAGTGCCCTGCACAGCCTGGCCATAACACTGGGGATGGGAGGGCACCCAAGCATCACATGTCACGTCACCTTCTTGCACACGTAGTCATTAGGCAGGTAGACCACCGATCTGAGCCGCTTCAGCATGTCAAAGATCATCTGTCTGTCACAACCCTGAGCCAAAATAGAGCCAACAGTGGTGTAAGTCTGTGTCAGCATGGCAGGCTCTGCCAGGCAGGACCCATGCTGCAGAGGATACCTGGAAAAGGGCCACTTTGCTCACGATGTTGTAGTTCACGTCAATGGCAATGTCCAGCCTCATCTTGTCTGGCAGCTGCACCAGCAGCTCTGACTCATCTGTGAGACAAAGCAGAAAGCTGGTTGTTTCCAGCTCTTGATATGAGAGCATGTCCTTGACGTGGCAGTAGGGAAGCAACTCACATTCCAGTGGCAGAGGGCAGGAGCCACCTCTCCCAGAAGGGTCTCCTCCAGCCTCTGCCCACCCAGCAACCTGCAGGTCTAAATACAAGGGGCGATGGAAAACCACCCTTCACATCATCCCTGCCCTGATGGCTCTCAGAGACACACCACTGAGCCCAGGCCATCGTCTTTCTTGCCCAGGAGGGTGGGCACAGAGGTCCTGGTCCTGCCTGGTACGGTGAGCTGGTATCTTTGCTGCTGGACACATTCTGGCCAGTGATTGCCAGTCACTGCCCTCTCCCCAGGGACCAGCATGTGGGACACTAGACTCAGTGTGCTATGAGTGAATACCAGGTCACCAAAGTGCTGTGAGCCAGTAGGGAAGAGTAAAATAAGTCACCCTACACCCCAGAACCGCAGTGCTATTTGACAGTAACGTTTCAGCCCTGCAAAACAACCACAGCAAAATGGAATGGCTGGATCTCACCTAGCATGCCTTGCGAGTGCCACGTGTACTCATACCACGTTTTCACCCGGTTCTGAACAGTTCTGGGGATTTTGTAGAAGTTCATGTATTTAATGGTGCTGTCCATGCAGCTCCTGTAGTAAGTTTGCCCTGCAGTAGCGGCACCAACCACGTCTCTCATCTGAACGGAAGAGGTGGAAGAAAAGTTTTAGTTGCTGTCACTTATCCATCACTCGAGCAGTCTAGAGTCTGTAAACCGAGCCCTAACAGCACCTGGCAAGTGCTTTTTGTCTTGCACCAGTGCCAAGCAGGTCCTCAAATGGGAAAAAACAAAACTGAAGATGCAAACCTGTGGATCAACCACACTACAGCCATCCCCACCTGAGGCTGGGAATCCCCCACAACTTCCACTCACCTGCCCTATCATGACAGAGAAAGCAAAGACGCCTGTGAAGTAGTTCAGCAGCTGGAAGACAATCTCAAACAGTGTCTTGGGGTCTGGCAGGCCCCCGATGGTGATGAGGGTTTTGACTGCCCAGTAGTAGCAGCGGATGTAGCTGGGAGGGAAAGAGGAGGCAGCTCTGAAGGTGTTTCTGGCATGAAGGCCTGTTTCACCCCTCTGCACTGAGCTCACATCCTCTGGCCATGGCAAGCCAGAGCCTGCTGAGAGTAATTATGGGTGACAGAGGGAAAAACTGAAGGGCTTCAGACTCCCCACCACACCTGCAGGTGCTTCTGGAGGTGCTACAGGAGCAGGGGGACCCATGGATCCTCCAGAAATCTCCATATGGGAGGCTCAGCTGCTCCAGCTGCTCCTTACAGCTCCACTGCCATAAACCAGCAATGTGTTTTCAGAGACATTTACACTTTCAGAAATCATCAGGGGAGAATAAGGGTTTGTGAGTGAATTGTTAGCAAAGGATGCTCCACATCTTCTCCTGGCACTCCCAACACTTTGCTTCTAGGGTTTTTATGAATCCAGCTGCACCCCAACACCTCCCTTATTACTTCAGCTCATCCCAGCAGGCTGTGTAAGATCCAAGCCCTGGCTTGTACCTGTTTCCTTCCCCATCATAGACCCAGGTAGTAGAGCCCAGTCCTTCATAGGCTGAGGCCCAGTAGTAGAGGCAGGAGTTCACATGCAAGCTGTACAGTAAGTAGGCAGTTGTCCGAATCACTCTGCAAAAAGAACCAGGAGAGAGCAGGAAGGGAGATCATACGGTGTCTTCTGGGAGAAATATGTCCCCACCACCCCCCCATCATCACAAGGAGCCTCAAAACAATGATCAAGAGGTCCTGCCGTTGCAGGAATCACAGAGCACCCAAACATGCACCCTGCTGCTCCCTCCTGCAGCCCTAGAAGTGCCAGAAAAACCAGTGGGAGAGGTGATCCTACCCACATGGGCTCTGGGAGCCCCACATCCTGCTTCATCAGCCAACATCCACGTCAGCCAGCCCAGGGATGGCAGGAAAATAAACCAGGAGCTCGGAACGGGTGCACACCAAAGCGAACCTTCCTCCACAGTGGCAAACAGCAATTCCACTCTCCCTCCTTCCCTCGGCCCCCCCTCACCTGTAGATGTATGCCTTGGTCAGGATGGCCTCCAGGCGGTTGTTGAACTCGAAGAAGGCCATGTACTGGGAGGAGAAGGAAAGCAGCATGCTCCAGCTTCCTGCGGCCCCCACTGGGACAGTCACCTCCCCACAAAGCCCCACTGCCCCTCTGCTTCCCTCTTGCAACCCCCCTGCAGCACAGACTGCCACAGAGAGATTTGGGTCCGTCTATAAGTGCCCTTCTATTCAAATGTGAGCATGGCTTAGGATTGAAATGAAGATTCAGCAAACAGCACTGCAAAGCCTTTGGGATAAGACTTCCCTTACATTTTGCAATCCTCTTGTCATCATTAACAAGCCATTAACGAGCCATTTAGCAAGCCATAGTTCACCCCAGCAGCACAGAACTCCTCCAAATCCACCGCAGGTGCTGTTCTGCCTGATTTTGTAAATTCCAACTCACCTTCAGACAGCGAGGGAAGCGCAGGAGTGGGTTGACACCAATTTTGAAGTAGAAGAAATCCAGGGGCAGGAGGCACAGCACATCCATCTGAAATCCACACAAAGAGAGAAGCCTCTGAGGGGACTTGCAGGTGCACTGGGATGGGGCTGCGAACCACGGGGCAGATTAAAGATTCAGATTAATAAATAAAATTATGGCGAACCTTAAAACGTTGTGATCGCAGGTAGTTATCTTTCATGGCCTTTTTATCAGTCTGGTTGGGAACAGGAAGGAGAGAGACAGAGAGGAAGATTGATCATTGCTCACAGAAAGCAAAGTCATGGCCAACATGCTCATGCCTGGCTTTCCCTTTCTGCACCATAACAGGGAAGATTTTCCCTTCATTTCCGGGAATGGGAGCAGAGCAAGACAAGCAGAAGACCTGGCCATATCCCATCTTCCCATCCTATCTTGGGACATCCTGTGCTTGTTTTGCATCCCAGGGAAAGCACATCGCAGTGGCAACCTCACAAAAACCAGAGTTTACAGGAGAAACCTGCCTGTCTGAGCATCTGCATGGCCGTGGGAAGGCTGTACCCTCAAGGTCTGATTTTTCACAGCTTATTTAACTGAATATGGAAACAAAATCAAGGGCTTTCCCTTTTCTCAGACACGTGATCTATGTGTTCAGATTGCAATTGCTAATTCATTCTGCCCAGCCTGCTCCTGAAAATCAAACTCAAGAGTTTTTTATGCCCATGCCCATGGTTGGCAGGGCACAACTACACCAGGGCTGGTCAGTGAGCACCTCACACCATGGGCAGAACAACCCTGCAGAGCAGCACCCTCCTGGCATCCCTTCCCAGGAACGGGGCTGCCATGGACCACCCGTTTTCTAGACGGGCTGGTATTGCCTTTAGGGGACAAATAGTGTGTTTGGCAGACAAAAACACAACTGGCCTATCCACCACGTGTCAGGAGAGATGCTTGCAGTCTCTAAGAGTGTCCACAGCCGTGGTGGGAGAGCTTGGAGAGCTCAACTCAGAGGTTGAGCCCAGCACCACCCATGTTGTTGGGGGGGGATGGGGATGGGGATGGGGATGGGAGGCCCCCACAGCTGGTCCCTGCAGTGGTGGATGCAGCGTGTGACACTCACGATGATGTCTCCCCCCTGGACGAACTGCAGCCGGGTCTGGAAAACGAGGATGTCCAGCAGATAGATGAGGTCGCAGAGGTAGTCCACCAGCAGCCAGCAGTGGATGTTTGCTGGGGTCTGGTAGGGGAAAGCCCAGCGGACGGGGATCAACCAGCAGTTCCAGTTCCAGGCCATGACGACGAAGAACAGCCACAGCACGTACATCAGATCTGCACATGGGGAACAGCACCACGGTCAGCTGGGCAGACATCCCAGGGTTTTCATGCCCTGACCTGCCCTGAGCACAGCTTGGAACCCTGCAGGAGGTCTCTCGGCGACAGCGTTTAGCTGCAGGTGAGTTGGGCTCTAGTGCAGAGTGAACAGCACCAGTCACAGAGCACACCATCCATGTTTTGTTGGGAAGCTTCCAGCTTTGCTCATTCAACTAGGTTTGCTTTTCCTTTGCTGTCACAACACAGACTTCCCTGTTTTGCTTTTCCTCCTGCAGCTGTACTGAACCGATGGCCTGAGCCCATGGGCTTCCAAAGGGGTGGGGAATAGCAGAAACTAAGGAAAGAGCTGGGCTCCTGTGGAGTGGCCACCAGGCAGCTGATGTTTCTTTTGCGACTTTTATTTTAATTTGGAGTATCTACACCACAGGGACAGCGTTTTCCCACTGAAAAGCCTGAAAGCAGAAGGTGGCTGTCCCTCCCCTGCCCAGCTGTGCTCCTGGCATGCACAGCTATCAGGAAATATTTAGGAAAGCCTATACCTTGCAGTGGAATTTAAAACTCTAGGCTTTAGTGAAAGCTAAGTTGCTTCTTGCTTAGTTCTCCTCTCCTCTCTGTAACATCTCCTCTCTATAAGATCTCCTCTCCTGCACCTCCTCCCCTACCCATCCCCTCTCCCCTGGTCCCACCAGCTTGCCCCCAGCCCAGGCATGAGGCTGTGCTCCATCACTCACTGGTGAGTGGGTCGATGCTGCTGGGGAACTGGTAGCTTTTCAGGCGGTCCAGCCATGGCCGGTACTTGAAGGTGCAGCAGAGCATCTCACAGTAGTGGTCATCCCCTGATGGTTTGTCCCCCTCCACCTCCCCTCCTGGGGGAGGCACCGGTGCTGCCGCAGGTGCCGGCTTAGCAGGTGCTGGGAGAGGCCACACAGTTAGTTCAAAGTGGAGAAAAAAAAATCTTGTTACTGCAATTTGTTTTAAGGTCTTTAAACTGTAAATAAAACATCTGTCTCCCGGAAAACACAGCGTGCGTGGGGACCCACCAGTGAAATGCTCCCAGCCCCGCTGGAACTCACATGCCACAGGGCTCTCGTCATCCGAGGTGACATCGGGGTCAATCAGCTTCTCTTTCACCTTCTCGGTCCTCTCTTTGAAGAGCTTCACCAGTTCCTGGAGCCGGGTGTTGATGATGGCACTGCTCAGGCTCGTGGCCGAGCCGATGCGCTCGGGCAGGCTGCAGGCAAACCATCGGGTGTTTCATGCAGGCAGGAAAACACCAGGGCAGGTTCACAGAATCACAGAATCCTGGAATGGTTTGGCTTGGAAGTGACCTTAAAGCTCATCTCATTCCAACCCCTCTGCCGTGGGCAGGGACACCTTCCAGTAGACCAGGTTTCTCCAAGCCCCATCCATCCTGGCCTTGAACCACGGCCATGACCCATCCTTTAACCTACGGGATCTGAATTAGGATTTACCCATATTTATTTGGGTACTGGGTAATAAGAACACAAGCTAAGGTGGTTTCAGTAAAAGATAATCAAGCAGCATCAACCTGAGCCTCATCTGTTCCCTGGGATGCGAGGTGCTGTCAGAAGGTTTGGGAAGCACCAAGATCCCAGGCTGGATTGCATGTGCTTGGGAGAACATGATTTTGGAAGAACTATGGGGTGAAAATGTGCATCAAACCCCTGAATTTATAAACTATATCTTCTCTTTTCAGCCTCTTCATTAGAACCAGTTTGGATTTAGACCAGGATGCTTCACTTAGCATGGCTGAGAAGCATCAGTAGGAGGGAGGACAGAAACAAGCTCGTTTGCTGTAGCCCTGGCTAGTTTGTTGTGATGACTGGAAAAAGGTAAAACCATGCTCCCCGTGGAGCTGCAGACCCTCGCCAAGAGTGTGCCTCCCAGGGAGGGCAGCTCCCTCCAAGGCTGTCCCTGGGGCTGTGGGGAAGCCAGGGCTTGTGCTCTCTTCCCACATGGAAGAAAAGGGTCATTTCTCCACAATCAGTAAAAACAAGGTGTCCCCACAGCACTATAGCATATGGAGATCAAAGGTGCATTTTCTCTGCAGTTACACCTAGTCTTAAAAAGAATATTTCTACATGTACACAGGAAAAACAAGAGAACAGTTTCTGCTCCAGTGAGCATCACGATCATTATTTTTGGAGAGGGGGTGCTTTCCTTGTTCAGCAGCACCAGAGCCACTGTGGGCGGGGCTCCCTCTCCCTTTGGTATCCCAGCAATTGTAGGATCTTTGTTATTTTCACCCAAGTCCCAGGATCCAAACCCCTGGATCTCGGCTGATCTGTAGCCCCCGGGTCCCACCACGCACCTTTCCCTCTGCTCCTCGTCCCAGCTCACCAGTCCCTCGTCCAGACCATCCTGTGGGACCAGTTGCCTCCTCCTACAGACACAAACACAGCGACCGAGGATCAGCTTGTCTCCCGTCCTCAGCCAGCTCTTCTCCCTGCTCCTCCTGCCAGGGGTCATCTGTTTTCCCCTTCTCCTGCTAGGGTCAGTTTTCCCCTAACTTTTGGCACTGCCTGGAGCAAACCACCCTGTTCCTTTGCTGCTAAAGCCCTGTTTCTCCCTGGGCACCACTGAGCCCTTGGCTCCATAGGCATGCAGCCACCCAGCCCACTTTGTAACCCGTTTGGGACACCTGGCAAGATGCATAGAGGGCAGGCACTACTCTGTGCTTGTCCCCAGTGCTGCACTGTCACATCACTGCACTTCGAGAGGCAGGCAAGGAAAGTGCAATACCAGGAGTATCTATAAGATGTGTCCTAACACAGCTGGTGGCTCCCCCTGGCACAGATGGTTTTCTGAGACAACTTCCTTACATGTGGGCAAGCAAAGTGGCAGAAGGAGAGCTGAATATGAAGATGGCAGTCACAACAAAACCTGGACTGCTTTGCAAACCTTCACCAAGCCCAGCATTTCAGCTGCAACAAAGAAATGGTCTCCTGCCCCCACAGCTGCTGATCCCACTGGCCCTGGTACAAAATGGCTCAGTGCTGCATGTGGAGCAGGAGCGAGCAGGACACTTGCAGGGAGGTTGTCCTGCCATCACAAGTCTCTTGACGAATGCCAAATGCTGTGAGCCCACCACCCCCAGCCTCACAGGCTCTCAGGTGTGTCCTGCTGGGAGGGGGAGCAGGTAAACAAGACTGATAAACTTTCATTCCCCAAGTGCACAGCAGCACGGGGGTGGAAGAAAACCACCAGCCCCACTGTTAAAGTACTCTCATATGTCAGTGGAGAGGTTTCCAAAACCCTCAGTTTGGAGAAATAGTCCTGCCAGGGTCTGTATCATTCTTAGGACAACATCCATCACCTCTCACCAGCTTCCAGCTGCCCTTCCCCTGCCTCTGTGCCCTCAGGGCACCGTCCTGCCCCACTGGCCCGTCCTCATCCCTGAGCAAGCCCAGGATGCCCACACTGACAGGCTTTTGCTCTGCCAGGGGGACCCTGCAGCACCTGGCCCACACACAACCATCCACTGCACAGCCAGCTGGGTCAGAAGGCCCCGTCACAGCCTAAACATTGCTCTGTTTTTGTGGCCCTTGGAATGCTGCAGCCAGAGGCCATCGGCATCCGGCTGTCCTGCACCTGCCTGGACGTGTGGGACACACAGGGTCCCTGCCCATATGGGATCAGCTGGAATATCCTGGTGTTTATTGTCTGCGAGAGCCTGTTTTGAGGCTCCAGTTACATTGTGTGGCTCATTAACGGTGAGTCTTTTATGACTCTGTCCAAACCACGTTCACTCTAATCCTTCACAGACCCCTGTAGGAAATAACTCAAGACTGTGGCCAATAGAAATGACTTAGGGATAACTGGATGACTGCTCAATGAAGAACTGATGTCCTCTTACTCTGGAAACACCAGCAGGAGAGGAGCATTTTTCTTCTGGCTCAGAATGATTACATTTTATATTTTTGTGTTGGAGAACAGCAGTTGCTTGCCTTTAAAAATCTCCAGTTCTACCAAGGGACCTCCTCCAGTGTTGTTTTGAGACAGTCCCCGGAGACACAGCAGAAAGGTTTATATGCTCACATGTGTAACTGCAAATATGCTCAATGCTGTCAGTATTTGCACTGCAGGGATTGTACATGAAGCCTTGGGGCTCTTCTTTCCCAGTTTAAAAAGCTGTTCAACAGGCTGGATTATGGACATTTTCACCATTTTAGCTGGTCCTCCAGGAGCTTGTTTATGAAAAGATCCAAACTATTAAGTGAGAATGACCATAGCACCTGGTTTTCAGCACAGAAAAATCCACTTTGGTTTTGATTTTTAATCCTCTGCAAGAATGAACTTCAAAAAAACCCACCCTAACAACAGACAAAAAAGCACCAGCTTCCTCCAGCCTAAATTTTAAAGCTCAGTTTTAATCCCTCTGAGCATAGAATCACTGAATGTTTTGGGTTGGAAGGGACCTTAAAAGTCCAACAGGGACATCTTCCACTAGACCAGGTTGCTCAAAGCCACTTCCAACCTGGCCTTGAACACTTCAAGGAATGGGGCATCTGCCATCCATCTGAAAGCACAAACCCAAGGGGAGATACTGCAAACCCTTTCAGCAAAAATACAAGAAAATTATAGGGTTTATGATGAAGGCCCAGATCCAGTACACAGACTCCCCACGCTCTGAATTTGGGAGCACAGACACGTGGGACAACAGACAAATGGGATCCTGGGGATCGAGCCCATCTCCAGGAGGACACACAGGCAGGGCTGTCCCTGGCCCCCAAAAGCTTTAAACAAAATTTAACCCTTTAATTAAAAAAGTGCAAACAGCAGGCAAGGCTTTTGCCACCTCCTCTGCCGTGCACAGGGGCGACTCCCGCCCCGCGCACATCACACTGTCCAAACCTGCTGGAAATGGGCTGCTCTGTATGGTTACAGAAATTTTCCTGTAGTGGCACCAGCAGGGGGTGAGACCCCCGGGGCCAGGGACCGCGTCTGGGCAGAGCCATACCTGGGGGATGCTGCGCCGGGCACCGCCAGCCTGTTGGGAGCGCCGGCAGCGGGCACCGGCAAGTGGGTACCATCGTTCTCTGCAGCATCGCCTCGGCTGTCCACATCCTTGATCTCCACAGTGGGGTAATTACCTGCTCCGTGGGGAAGGACAATAATTGCAGCTGAGGGGGGTGCAGGGTCCCTCCTGCAGCCAGGGTGGCTCCCCAAACCCCATCATTGCCACAGTGCTGCCCCCCAGACCTCGCAGCGCACTGGGAGGACTCTCCTTCTCCCTCCATTCCCTTCTCTCCTGGCACTCCTTTCTCCTAACTGTTTGGAGCATTTCTTTCTCTTTTTTTTTTTTGCCCAGTTTTTGACACTTTAAGAACAGCCACCTGCTTTCCTTCTGCATGCCCAGATTGCAGTGATTTCATCTGCTCCATCTGGGTGTTGGGTTCCCATGGTTCAGAAAACAATGGAGATTAGGATTCCCAGCTGCAGGTGTTATGCAGGGACACAGGATTTCCAGGTGCAAACTTGCCTCCCAGGGTCTAGAAATTCTCTTGGGTCTTCTGAATATAAACATATGGATCATGACAGCTCCAAATCGCACAGCACTTGCTTTTCATGCAGAATAAGGCACTATTTAAATAGACATTTATGGCTTCTCTCTTTTGCAGAGGTAATAACTGCTTCCTGCCACAGGCAGGGTTAGAAGCAGGAGGGTTGGATGTTTATAGTGGGTAAAGAAAGATGCCAGTTGTCCAAAGGAGAAATGGTGCTGTGAGTTGCCTTGGCCAGGCCCCACAGTCGGCTTGGCTGTAAAGTGTCATCTCTTTTCTTAGCTATTTAACAAAATGCAATGAGTTCCTGCAGGATTTCTTCTGTGGGAGGTTTTCACACATCTGAAAGACCCTGTGCACCCCCTCCTGTTTCATGCTGATGTGGAACTAGTGGATCAGAGCGTGGCTTGATTAAATCCCCGAGAAATCTGCCTGTTTGGGTTGCAAAGTTAAAATCCTGTTGCATGCAAGGAAAAGCAGCAGAATTTGGCTTGCTGGTTAAAAACAAAGCAAAGCAAAGCTGCAGAAAAGGCAGAAAGCCATGAACAGCAAGCCTCCACCTTCCTGTCCTCGTAGTATGAGCGGGTTGCATGAATGCTAGAGAGAAAACAGTGTGTGTGGTGATATTGCACCCTCTGCCTGCAGGTCCTTCGGGAGAGCTTTTGACAGAGCAGGTCAAAACACACAGCATTTGCAAACGCTCTGTAGAGTTAGCTAAAAAGGCACATAGTGATGAAGCAGAAGCAGAAAACACATGGATTTTTTTTTTCCCCCAGCCTCTGTGCTGCAACGTGAAGCGTGCTTTTATTTTTATTATTTTTTTTTTTCCCTCCGAAAGCGACAAAAAAAGCGACTACTCCGGGAGTCACCCCCTGCCCGTCTCTACGCAAAGCCCGTCGCCAAAGCCAACTCATCTCTAATACCTAGAGGGGATTGCTCCTCATTGCAAAAATTGGGGTTGACAACTCCGGCCTTTGGCCCGCTGGCGGCGGGGACGGGGGCGCGGGAGGCGGCGGCGGCGGCTCGGTAGCTGGGGACATTGGGGAGCAGCTCTAGGGCCCCGCGGCTGGCAGGGGAGGGCTCCCCGCCATCAAGCGGCTTGTCATGCACCAGCCGGTCTAGCTCGACGTCCCGGGCCCGCCTGGCCATGCTGCTAGGAGCCTAGGTGCTTCAAGCAAAGGACAAGGCATCTGAAGCTGCAACAAAACACACAGAGTGGTTTGAGTGGTTTTAGGTCACGGTTAAAAAGATGCGGGGCTGCCGCGGGCGCTGGGGCTGTCCCGCTGCTCACGGGTGTTGGCAGCACAGGGCTGCAGTGGTGGCCGTCCTGCTGTGCCCTTTTCGTAGAATCACAGAATGTTAAGGGTTGGAACAACCTTGGAGGTCGTCTAGTCCCATCCTCCCCTGCCATGGGCAGGGACACCTCCCACTAGATCAGGTGGCTTGAAGCCTTATCCAACCCGGCCTTGAACACTGCCATCCACAACCTCGCTGTTCCAGTATCTCATCACCCTCAGAATAAAGAATTTCTTCCTTTTATCTAACCTAAATTTCCCCTCCTTCAATTTTTACCCATTACTCCTTGTTCTATCACTGTAGTTCCCGATGAACCAGCATTTTCTAGCATTGCTGCAAAAATCGGGGTGCCCTGCATGGGCTGCATCAGCCTGCACCAAGACTCAGGGCAACCCATTCCCTGTGCAACTCCCCGACATCAGTGCAGTTATGCCAGGACCTGTCTTTGCTCGCTCAGGCTGTGATGGGAGTTCACTACCTAATTTTCATTACTTCCATTGCTTCCTAAAAGGCTACATTAAAATGCACTTTATGCCACCTGGTAGAGAAAATCCTTTTTATCCCTATACTTTCTCCAGCTGAAGGAGGAACCCTAATTTCACGTCAGGGATTGCTTAATCAGCAGGACTCAGCACTGCACAAGCACCAGCCATTCAGAGCTGGCTCCAGCCCATGCCAATGATGCCACCATGCTGCACCCATGGGATGCTGTGCCCACGGGATGCTTTACCCCAGTGAAAAGCCCCAACTGCCCATGCAGGCCCATGCTGCAGAGAACTCAGCTGCCTGCTCCCCAACAGCAGGGAAGGAGAAGCTGGATTCTCCTCCCATCAGGCATCACATCACCTGCTTTGATTCATCCCCATTTGCTATTGTACTGCTACATGTTGTACCTTCAGCATTGGTTTCAGCAGCTTCAGCTGTCTTCTCTTCCACCTTCAAAATGAAAAAAACCATTTTAAGGAGAAAAAGCCCTACTCTGTCAGTAAAAGAGCAGATTTTTGCAGCTTGACTGGATTCCCCGTATCACCCCTATTTGCCAGACTCTCAGCTCCTTGTTCAGTGCCAACTTTGTAGGGTGAAACAGCCCCCCCTCCATCCACAGCTAATGCTGCTGGCTCAGCTTCAGGGATGGGGACATCTCAGTGGGAAACATGTCCAGTGCCCAGCCCAGTTCCTGCTCCTCCCAGGGCACTGCATCCCCCTGGACAAGCTCTGAGCCCCTGGTACTCACTGGCCAGCAAGAGCTCATTGCAGACCTGAGCCCAGGCAGGGAGCGATGCCGTACCTGTACAAGAGCACCTTCGAGGTTACTTATCTCAGCTACTGCCTGCTGCTCAATCCTGAGGGCCTCCTCAGCAATGTAGGCTTCATCCACACCATTGGTAGTTGGGAGAGAAGAGAGCAGGGACCTGGGAAGGAGAGAAAAAATACTGCGTAGGTGAGAGGTGCATAAACAAAGCAGGGCATTGCACGTGCACAAGCAAAAATTGCAGAGGCAGAAAGATGCAAGCAGCATCTTTCTCCTCCTGTGCATAATCATTTCTCACATAATTAAAATTTGCCAAATAAAAAGCCCAGAGCCTAATTTCCAGGCAGGGCTTTCCCAAAAGCACCATCCAAATCCCACGTTTGCCTGTGCAAGGCACTACCAGGACACGTAATTCTCATTTTCTTTCAGCAGCAAGTGCAGACCTCAGCTCCACCATTCTGACAAAGGGGCTCACAAGATCGAATTTATTGTTTTAATATAGCTTATAACTGAAAACAAGCACTTCACATGTGGCTCTGTGCACTTATCTCCTGATTTGCTCTTTCCTGGAAAAAAATGCAAAGCAGGGATAGGTGGTAATGAGAAAAATTTTAAGATAGCTAAATGCATGAAAATCGAGAAACCATCTTTCTGTATCCTTGGCAGGTGCAAAGTCAGAAGAGATATGTCACAAGCAGTGGTTGCTCTTTCTCTTTTACCTCCATGTCTTCAAAACCTGTTGTTTTCCAAGGTATTTTTTAAAGTATTTTTAATAATTCCCCCCCTTTTTTATTTTAATTATGCTCCCTTTAAACACAATTATAAATCCTTCCTCTTTATCTAGAAAACCTGTTGGTTTCCCTCTTGTTTCCCAATAAACAAACACATTGAAAGACGAAGCATCATCTCATTCACCCCACAACTGAAGCTCAAGTTTCTATAGTGAAGCTCCAGGAACAGATTTTGATGACATACAAACATATGGGTTTGATAGTGAATAATCGTGCATTTTCAGCTTCTTCCTGAAAATCTAGCTACTTTAGAGGAATTAACAGAGAATAATATTTTAGCACCGGGTAATAAATCCCTAAATGTTTATCTCATGCGAAATCCGAGCAAACCACTTAACTAAGCAGAAAGATGTCTCTCAACACCATCTAGACCAAAGCCACTACCTGCCTGACAAGAACTCGGATATTTTCTACAACAGGAAAAAAATGTAAAATTGTACCTACTTGCATTAAGCAGTATTTCCAGGCAGAACACACAATCCTCTCTTTACATTCAGCTCTGTGGCACCCACAATAATTCCGACTGCCCTGAACTGATGGATGTGGTTTCAAACAGCATGGACCCTCTCCCGGAGCTGGGAGAGGGCAAAGCCTCCCGATGGAGGCTCGAGCCGGGGCTGCCTCTCAGCCGAGCCGCCGGACCCGCGGGGGGATGGATGCCCGGGGGCCGCGGTTGCTACGGGCGGCCGCGGTGGAGACGGAGCCCGTGTCACCAGGAGACTCTCGCCTGTCGCCAGGTGCCGCGTCAGCAGCGAGCCCTGGGATGAGCCGGTTTGCAAAAGCATCCCTCCCTTCTCACCCATTCCTCCCGAATGTATCCCTCCCCAGCACAGCACAGCTGCCAGCCAGGCTGGGAGCTCCGCTCTGCCAGGAGGAGCTCGCTCGTCCATGGGTGTTTCAGCCTCTCTGGCTTGTGAACGCAGTTGAAACAACAGCTGCGTTCACGCTCCTTTCCGACAAAGCCATTAAGGCAACATTAAGGGGAGACACTCACTCTGCACTCTCCTCCTCCTCTTCTTTCCTCTTTTCCTCTTTCCTCTTCTCCTCTTTCCTGTTCTCCCCCTCTTTCTTCCTCTTCTTCTCCTTCTTCTTCTCCTTCTTCTTCTTGTCCTCCGCCTTTTTCTCCTCCTTCTTCTTTTCCTCCTTCTTCTTCTCCTCCTCCTCCTTCTTCTCTTCCTCCACCTTCTTCTCCTCCTCCTTCTTCTTCTCTTCCTCCACCTTGTTTTCCTCCTTCTTCTCCTCCTCCTCCTTCTTCTCCTCCTTCTTTCCCTCCTCCACCTTCTTCTCCTCCTTCTTTCCCTCCTCCACCTTCTTCTCCTCCTCCTCCACTACCTTCTTCTCCTCCTCCTCCACCACCTTCTCCTCCTCCACCTTCTTCTCTTCCTCCTCCTTCTTCTCCTCTTCCCTCTTCTCTTCCTCCTCCTCTTTCTTCCCTTCCTCCTGTTCCTTCTCTTCCTCCTCCCCTTTCTTCTTCTCTTCCTCCTCCTCCTTCTCTTCCTCCACCTTATTCTCCTCTGCCTTCTTCTTCTCTTCTTCCTCCTCCTTCTCTTCCTCCACCTTATTCTCCTCTGCCTTCTTCTTCTCTTCCTCCTCCTCCTTCTCCTCCTCCCTCTTCTCTTCCTCCTGCTCCTTCTCTTCCTCCTCCCATTTTTTCTTCTCTTCCTCCTGCTCCTTCTCTTCCTCCTCCCATTTTTCCTTCTCTTCCTCCTCCTTCTTTTCCTCCTCCTTTTCCTCCTTGGTAGTGTTTGGGGAGCTCAACCACAGCCTGGGAAGGAGAAACTCATTAAGTAAAATTCACAAAGTATGTCACATGAGGAGCCCTGCCAGTCTCCCCAACCCCTTTGGCCAGAGATGCTCTCCCTCCATCCCCCAGCCAACCTCTCGGGGGGTTGGATATGCTGGGACATACTGGGCATACACTGTTTCACATCCCTTTAGTGCCTACAGCTCCAAGCAGGTGGAAGGGAGAGCGGGAAAGAGTTTGGGAACCCAAAACCAGAGTCCTTGAGCCTTCAGATTCCCCTTGCTGCATGGGAAGAGGATGTGCTTAGGGGTCACTGGTTGCTGATTTTGACCAAAACCTCCTGTTAATGAAATCCCCCCCCGTGCTTGCCGCCCACAGTTTCTCACAGCTTCTGTAGCAAGGGGAAAAAAAATCTGAAAAATATTTTTATAGCATGCCCAGTGTTTTCTGGTTGAGCAGGAGAGACCTCTGCTGAGCCAGTGTGGCTCAGGGCATTGCTTGTGCTTAGTGCAGTTGAGCATTGCCAGTTTTGGGACGGGGAGACCACTGTGTTAGCCCATGCTGGGCTCAGGGAGCATTTTGGGGGTCTCAGAAACCTTTGCGAGTGTGCATGGGCACCTCTCATCCCCCTGCTGCAACACAGCCTCCTTCTGGCTCTGAACACACTGCCCAGCCCTGGGGAGAACCTCAGCAGGCAGTTCTTTTGGGAGAAGTAGAGTGAATTCTACAGAGACAACTCCTATTTCTGAATGTCATTACAGCTGAATGTGCAACTGTTGGGAACAAGGTCCAAGCCCTCTTGCCTTTAGGGCCAAAATCTTACAGGAGCCTAAGCAGAGCCTCCCTCAGCTGTCCTTTGCAGGGCTCTGTGAGCATTGCACTGATGGCTCTGCGAGCATTGCACTGATGGCTCTGCCACCGCCTGCCCCAACCCAAATCTCAGCACCAGAAGCAAAGGACGTTTGCTGAAACACCTTTTGGGTTCTTCTGGTGGATGCCCCCCTCTTCCAAAACAGACGCCTCGGTTGCCAGCTCCACCACCAGTGCTGGCAAGGAGGGATGCCTGGGGATATGCTTGTCCCCTCCCATGGCCACCACACTGGTGACTGGAGAACACGTAGACCTGCCCATCAACAGCATCTTCCTTCTCCTACCTGTTTTCTTCTTCTTCCTGAGGTTCCTCCTGTATGGGGGGAAGGGAACGAGCATCTGCCTCCGGCTCAGCCTTGTGGCTCCAGGCCATCATCTCACACGTGTCTTCATTAATCTGGTCATCAGTGATCTCTTCCAGGATGAGGTGGGTCTCCTCGGGTTCCCCAGGGGGTATATGAACTGAAATTGGAATGGGGAAAGGGAGGTGATGAAGTGAGAGTGTGAGAGCACATTCTTGAGGGGTCAGATGTAGGGCCAGGGCAGATCCCATGTTTCATCTGCTTGATGCTGCAGTGCTGAAGCAGCTCTCAGCCTGCACAGATTTGGGCAGCCCTGGTGACCCCAAGCTGTGCTGGGCAGATGCCTTGGGCCCTTTGCTAGAAGGAAAAAGAAAATTCACCATTTTGTGCCAAGCATACCCAAAGCCCTGTGAAGCCCCTGAGCAACCTGGTCTCGTGCAAAGTGACCCTGCCCACAGCAGGGGGGTTAACACTGGATGAATTTAAGGTCCCTTCCAACCCCAGCCATTCTGTGATTCTATGAAAGCTTTAAACCCCTGCACACAGATGACTGCTGGCTTCCCTGCATGTGTAGCCACCTCCACCAGCAGCGATCTGGCCCATTTCCAGGCCACATTTTGTCTCTCCTTGCAGTCAGGAGCAGCCAAGGGAAGAGCCCAAAGCCTCTCCCTTTGTGAACTCCCAGCAAAGTGCCGCCCTGGCACAGCCCGAGGGCCCTGGATCTGCAGAGCGAAACCCAACCCAGAGCCCACATTGCAACACCCAAGCACCACACCATGTCTGCTCCAAACACTCCCCTGGCCACGGTGTAGGGAGCATTCCTAGCACGCTGCCACTGCCCAGCATCACCGGGGAAAAACCCGTGGTGGGTTAGTGGGACGATGCCAGCCCAAATCCATGGCGGGTTTCTGGGGGAGCTGTGGAGCAGCTGCAGGGTGAGGAGTGCAGGGCTGACCCATGCTGAGCCCTCTCTGTGTCCCAGGGGTACCCATCCTACCACGTCAGGCACGCTCCAGAGAAACAGGAGGAGGAAGCACATCCGCTTACTGTAAAATCAGTTTATTTTGATGTCTGCCTGACAACAGAACTTACATGTCCACAGTGAAGCTGAAAGGAAACGTGCAAATTCAACTACAGAAAGGCAGGAAACCCAGGCACGGTTGTACCAGTGCTGTATTCACCCACCCCAAGGTGTCCCTGATGTTCCCTGCAGATCTCTGTTAATTAAAACACGGGACAGCAAGCAGGGAGATGGCTTTTAAAACACACCATGACTTTTGTGTACATTATATTAAAATGGAGCAAATACTAAAACTGTGGCCTGCTACAAGCAGGGGATGGATCTCAGGGTGGTCTCTTGGCTCACGACTCATTATTATGGTTGCCTAGATGGACCTAAAGAGTTGCAAGGAGATGGTGGGAGATCTTAACCCAGCCTGTCAGTATATCAGGGGGCTTATACAAGAGATGGAGAAAGACTTTTTACCCAAGTCAGTGACTGGACAAGGGGCAACAGTTTCAAACCGAAAGAGGGGATGTTCAGACTGGACCCCCTGGGATCCCTTCCCTGCCAAGACACTCCTGCCACTGTAGTTAATGCTGCATCCAAGGAGCTGTGAGCTTCAGGAGGGAGCAGCTGTCATTGAGGGTAAGGAGAGTTTGGGGTAAATTCTCTTAGAAGGAGAGTCTGGGCAAAGGTTTTTAACCATTAAGTCCTACCTATTCATCTAGAGATCAACCTCACCCATCTGATTTGCTGCTGCAAACCAGAACCCTTTCCACTTGCTGGGAGAAAACACTCAGTTAGTGGAAGAAAAGCAATAAGGAGCTGACAAGAGCTTCAAGAGCTTTATAACATTACACCTCGGAGGCAGAAGTTGACTCAAAGAAACCTGTGGGTTTCAGCTGGAGGTCTCAGATTGAATATTCAGATTTCAGGGGGCCATTGAGAGAGCCAGGAGTGCTGGGAGACTGCAGCAAGAGGCTTTCTGCCACCGAGGTGTCCTGAGTGATGCTTTTCTGCCATCCTATAAATTGTAGCTCCCATCTCATAGACATTGCCCTGCAAAACTAATAGCTCCAATTCCCAGAGAAAAGAAGGACCCAAGTGGAACAGCCCTGGGACTGGGGACATGCAGCTGGCATCTCTGTGCCAGCCTTGGCTCCCCACTGCCCCAGCTGGGAAGGAGCTAGAGACTATTTGCTAATTCCCCATTGCTTTTCCTCCCCAGCTGCGCTTTCTCCTCAGGTTGGTCTCATTGGGGTGTGGGAAGGGCTGGTTTGCCATGGTCTTCGTTTTCCGTTTGTTTCAGAGGCGCTAAGCCCCTTTGCCCCCTGAAACAAAAGGAGAAGGAAAACATTAATGAGTGTGCTGGCAGTCTGGGGCCAGGGCAGATCTCTTGCTCAACCCAATTAAGTGACCTGGAGATGCCTCAAGGCACCAAAGCCGGCTGTGCACCAAGGCTGTGCCTGCCCAGCACACCCCTGGCTTTGCCTCTTTCAGGGCTCCGTGGCAATGCACAGGTCTCCAGTTTGTACAAACACGTGAGAAATGCCCCATTCCCAGGATTTCACTCTCTGAGGTTCTGCCAGGCTGCTGGTGGCTCAGCAGGAGCAACCTCCTGGCGTGTTCCTGGGGGATGTGCAGCTTCCGCGTGCCTCACCCAGCCCAACCAGCCACTCCTTGCCAGGGACAGCACTTCCATGGGGCTGTGTAACCCTGTCCAATCCATCCAGAGAGGCATCCAGAGTGGCTCTGCCATTTTGTCCAGTATCCCCCAATGTGGCTGGTGGGGGGAGCCAAGCCCGACTGCCTGCAGAGCCGGTGCTTGATCCCCTCCACAGGCAGGCAAGAAGCAGTGTGATCCCCACAAGTTTTCCCACAACCATGCAGACTCACATCTAACACACCTAATCCCAGGATTTGGTTTTCCTGAGGTACCTTCCTAGACAACTCCCACCAGGCTTGGCAAACACCTTCCAGCTTTAGCAGCGAGCACGCCAGAGGGGGGAAAGAAGGCGGCAGGTTTGAATTCCCTTTGATCAAATCCCACCGGCTCAGCAAACATCCTCCAGCACAGCCTGAGGACAGATCTTGAGATCGGCACTAACTTCAAAACCTGGGGCCCGAGGATGGTGGGATGCTGCACTTAGAGATTCCCACAAACCCTGAGTTTTACCAAGTCCCTGCCACAACTCCACAGCCGCTCCCATTTCTCAAGCGTCAACAGCCTCCCATGGCTTTCCCGAGGGATTCCAAGGGCTCCCAAGCTGGTACCCAGGGCAGATCAGGGGATAAAAGATGACAGTGACCCCTCTTCCCAATAGCCTTTCTGATAAGCTCAGCAATCAAACTCTCACAGCGAGATGGAGCCACCACTTACTTTGTTCCACGGGACTCAAGGTTGCTGAGGCCACTCCCTGCCAGGAGGAAAAGGGAAACATGACTCATTGTCCATTTTCAGTAATTTCTAACCTAAATACCCATTTGCAGTAAAAGTGGCCCTATTACCCTAAATACCCCACGTGATTTCTCGTGTCAGGTTGGATGCCTTGGCTGTGGACACTCATGATAATACGGGGCAGGAGCACATCAGTGAGCTCGCCTGGGGGCAAGGGCAGGAAAGGAGAGTGTCTAAACCTGCTGCTGCTGCTTATCCTTAGAACTGGGACTGCACTTGGGTGAGGTGCCAGGGCCTGGACACCACCCAGAGCTGCGCAGAAAGGCAAGGAAATGGTAAAGAAAACATGCTGCAGGCTCTCGTGCTGCTTAGAAGCCAAATCCTGGTTTTTATCAGCTGTGCAGGTCATGGGGATTTGTTTTCTTGAAGGAGCTGGGTGACAACCCAAACCACACCAGGTCCCAGCACTGATCTAGTAGTTTCTGCATTGCAAGGGACACCCTCCCCAGCAGGGACATGGTGCTCCCGTGCTCTTTGCCTATCCAGCAGGCAGCATACCTGTGTGTCCTGCTTCCCACTGGTCACTGGCTGTGGCAGCACCTTCTCCAGCTTCTGGACAAACCAGATGAACATCCTGGTGACAAGAAGCCAGTGTTAGAACCGGCAGCCAGAGCCTTTGCTCCCACATCAGCCAACCCTCTGGCCACCAGACCCAGGCAGAAATTGCCCTGTGGTTACCTGAGGCCATCCAGAGCCATGGACTGAGTGGTGAGGGTGGTCACTGGCTCTGGGTGCTCCGTGGCAGCTGCTGGTGTCTCTGCCACTGAGGTGCTCAGGGCAGCTGAAAGGCGGGGTTTTGGCTTTGCCGTCGTTTCAGTCCTTTTTGTGCCTGCTCGGGTTTATTTGGAAGAAGAAGGGGGATTAGGCAATGCAGCAGTCATAAATTGTTGGGAAGCAGAGCAAGCAAGGGAGGGTCACCTCCCACAGAGGGACAGGCCTGGGGTACCTCCCTGGCAGCCTCTCCCCTGGGGGCCCGGCCTGGGTGGAGGACATGGGCAGTTTGGGGACAGAAGTGATGTAGGGGCGGTGCTGTGATGCCAGGACCCGTGTGCCCACCCCTCTCAGCACAGTGGGAATCCTGGGCATGGAGACGAAGGGCACCCGCAGCTGGGCTCTCAGAGGCACAGCGTCTCCTCTGAAAGGGCCACCCAGGGAAGGGGGATTGGATCGCTCACCTTCCACTGTGGCTTCGCACTTCTGATCCTTCTGCTCTGCCTGCAGATAGACAGAGGGACGGATGGATGTGGCAAAGCGCTGCCTGCAGCCTCACACCACCCCGTGTGGGCCTGTGCCCCACCCCAAGGAGACCCACACTCTCAACCCCACACATCCTCTGGTGCAGTTTTGGCCCCATTTCCCTGACAACAACCATTAAACCCAGTGTTGTTGCCACCAGTGGGTCCCAACTGGAAGGTCTCCCCTGCCTGCAGCCAGGTTGGGAACAACGGGACAGCACCCCAAGGTCTCTCTTTTGCTCTACTGAATTCCTTTGGGATTTTCCTCCCCAGGGTCCCAGCTGAGGTGTGCAGGAGGATGAAGGCAGGGAGCCCACCCTGCTGTCAACCTCTGCCCAGTGGCCCCCAGTCTCCCCGAGCTGGGCAGTGCTCACCTCCAGCTTTTTCATCCCCTCCGGCTGCGGCACAATCCTCTCAAAGCCCTGGGACAGCCAGCTGAGCACCCGCTGTCCCACCCTGTGGGGAGAGTGCCGTGCTCAGGGAGCTCATCCCGTGCCCTCCTGCCCTCCCCCAGCCCCCTGCCAGCCTCGCTGGGGACCCACCACTCCTCTCTGGGGGTGTCCAAGTCGTCCTCGAAGCCGTCCTCCTCTGGATCGAAGGGGATTATGTCTGCAAGGAGAGCGTTGCCACGGGCAGGGGGGACCTGCACTGCTGGGAGCTTCAGGTCCCCCCATCAGCCAGCTCAAGGGGACAATGGTGCCAGCATCACCAGTCAGGGAGGTGGGGTGTGGGAGTCCCAGAGAGGCCCCCAGGGTGTTGCAAACTACAAGCTCCCAGCTCTCCTTACCGAGACCGTCGTCCTCCTCCGGAAGGACCTGGACCTCTGTCTGAAAAGCCAAACAGACTGTCACCCACCAGACAGCCAAGGTGGGGCTCATCCTATTGGGTGGGGAGGGAAATCTGCCCTTTCCCCAGGGATGGATGAAGGCAGAAAACAACGCAGGGCACATTTAGTGCTCCCAGTTAGCACTGGGAGAGTGATAGGAAGGAAAAAAAGATGTAGAAGCCCAAATACACCATACTGCTGCCAAGATCTGTCTCCTACCTCATCAGGAACATCAACGCTTGTCTCAAAGCTCTTCCCGAGCACCTGCAGTGTTCCTGGGGGTGGAGCTGGCTGGGGAATCACCCTCCTTATCCCATAGGAGAGCCAGAAGCGCACACTGCTCCCCATGCTGCCAGAGAAGGGAGCGAGTCAGGCTGGGAATGCCATCCCAGGCATCCAGCCCCCAACAAAAAACAAAATCCCAAGCAAACCGTGTTGCACACCGGAGGGTGCAAGAGCCATACCTCTCAAACACAGAACCTGTGTCCTCAGGGATCACAAATTCTACTTTCTTTACTAGTTCTTCAATGGCAGCAGGGAAAAAAAACAAAGGCAAGCTCCTGTCACCACTCTGGCAGCCCCCAGCACGCTGGGAAGGAGGGGAACCAGTTGGTAAAGGAACATGACCTGTGGCCTGAGCCAGTGTGGGGCTTACCCTCATTGCGTGCCTGGTCAGCAACATCCGTGGGGCCACTGGCTTTTCCTGCTGGTGCCTTCAGGGTAAAAGGCAGAAGGTGTCAGAGAGTCAGAGGGTGAGGCACAGTGGACACTGTCCCTGCTCAAAGGTGGCTGCAAACCCCAGGGACTCCCCATCCTTCCTGCTGCTTCCCAGAAGCTCAGAGCAGGGAAGCGTCCTGGCCCCCATCCCTCTTGGGGATGCTGCGGAGCATCCCTGGGTGCCAAAGAGCCAGGGATGGATGCAGAGTCACAGGCATTTCTCCATATAGGTCACGGCATCCCCATTACCCCCCAAATTGCCTCCCTGCTCACCTTAACTGGCTCCGGCTCCTGCGCTGGGGCCCGTGGGGTTTCCTCTGTCACCGGGGGCACCGGGGGCTGGGGAACCACCCGGTTGATCCAGCCCATCATCCCGCTGCCTGCGGGCAGTGGGGAGGGGTCTCCAGCCTACAAGAGGCCAGCAGCAGGGGTGCACACCCCCCAAGGAATCCCGGGTGCACCAGCTGCTCACGATGTCTCCAGAGCAGCCCAAAGAGGTCCTTGGTGTCCTTCCGTTTCGGTGTCCTGCTTGGGAAATGTGGCACTGCTCAACCTGGGAGTGTCTTCTGCTGCTGCCCTTCCAAAGAGCCGCGCTCTGCCCAAAATGCCCCTCCAAGGACACCCCACACTGCCCAGTGAGGGGCCCGGGAGCACCTCGGGCAGTCCCTGTGCTGCTGCTCGCAGATGATGCCTGCAAAGGGCAAAAGAAAGCAGATCCCTGAGCTCCTTCCAGCCCAGCTGGGACACAGCATGGGACTTTCAATCCCAGGTACACACATGACCCCAGTCCCACACGCAGCAGGTACAGGCTGGAAGCGGCTCAGCGCCAGGCTCTTTGCATTAATGCAGCCTTTAGGCGTGCAGGACGCCTTCAGTTCCCTCAACATGGTTTGTGGGGGGCTGTCCAAAGCCTGACTCCTTAAATCTAAACAGGCCAAGGTTCCCAGGAAGGGTGATGTGTGTCCTCAGCCCTTTGCTCGCCCACACCTTGGGAAGTCAAGGAGCTGGGTGTGGATGCAGCTGAAGCAGCACTTCCAGCTCCCAGGGCACCATAGACAGGGTCAGCTCTCCCAGAGAACCCCACATCCCCAAAACTGGACAGTGTGGCTGTAAAACCAGACAATCAGAAACCAATTAAATTGCCTTTTACCACCCACTGGTTATAAAGGATTAAGGAGATGCGAATGCCCCAGGAGCAGGAAGGAAAACCCGGCAGCCCCACACAGCAGAGGCATTTCCACCCATGCTTTGGCACAGGTCCCAAGGAAGCACAGGGTCAGTGTGCAGCACTGAGCCCAAACAATTCAGAGAAAGCCCCCCAGGGCTTCAGTGAGCCCCCCCGACAGTCAGGATCCCCTCCTCCCTCGACATAAGCTTGTGAAGCTGTAAAAGCATAAGCCTGTCCTTGGTCTGGGAAGGAAAGTGGAGGGCAGAGGCCATTCCTCTGGCACATCTGAACAAGAAAGGGGCAGAAACATCTGTGGGTCCGCAAAAAACTAGCTGCTGGAAGAAATAGGAATAAGCAGCCAGGATTTGCGCGCAGTGGCACGGAAGAGCTGGCAGTCTATGCATCCCCCTGCACTGCAGGTACCTACCAGTGCCACCACCTGTTGTGGCAGCTCCATGGGGTTTGTGCCAGTGAGCAAAGGGCCTTAGTCTTATCTCCAACAGCAAGTGAGGCGCAGATTCACTGTTGCAATTTGGAGCAGGGACCACTGTGGCCTTTTCCCTCCCCTCCAGCAGCCCATCAAACCCTCCATATTACCCAGGTCCATTGCCCTTGCAACACCACTCCCCATGGACCTGCTCGCTCCCCCAACACAGCTCATCCTCCAGCTCTGTCTCAGAGCACCAACCCCCCCGTGATGTGCAGAGGTGGTCCTGCAAAAACCCCAGCCACATCCCTCACCTCCATCACCGCCACTTACCCCCCCAGACTCACCACCACCTCCCTGGGAAGCCACCCCGGGCTGCGTGGGCTCCCTTGGCCACCTCAGCTCGCCACTGACCCCCCCAAACCCGCCTCAATCCGCTCAGGGCTCTGCGGGGATTAGCCCTGCGCTGCCTGCAAATGGGATTACAGGCACCCAGCTGTCCCGAGCAGCCAGCCTGGGTTTGGTGCAGGATACTGCAAAGAAAACCCCCAAAACGAAGCAGGTTTGAGCATCCTCAAAATCCCTGGAGCCACCAAAGCTATCCCAGGCACTCACCGGCAGAGCTGCAGGGCAGGGAGTCGTCTCTCGCAGGCGCAGGGGGGTGCAGGAATGCGCAGAAGAGCAGCAGTGGAGCTGCTGAAACCCCGCGGGGTGACACAAGGTGGTGTGATGAGGGTGATGTGCTGAGGGTGCTCCACCCACAGCTCTGTCCCAGCCCCAGAGGATCCAAGGCAGGAGGCAGCAAATCTGTGCTGAGTTGAGCTAAGCCTCCCCTTGCTGAGCCTGCCAATTGCTGCTTGATCCGTTTACCTCCAGTCCTGCTCAACTGCCAGCCTTTCCCACTGCCCCTAATCTCAGTCACACCCTGGAAGGCAGGTACCAGCAAGGCTTCTCTGCTTGACATCCAGCCCCAGCTCCTGTCTTTGGGTAGAGCTCCCTGGAGCAGTGCTGGAGCCCCTTGACAGAATTCCTCCTTCCCTGGCTCCATGGGTGTCTCCAGCCTGGTGGGCAACAAGTACCCATCCTGCCTGGCCCCAGCACTTCTGCAGCTTTGATTCACAGCCAAGGAAACTGTGGCATAGAAGCATTTTTTCAGTGACTCAGAGACACATCTCGCCTGGCCTGGGTGTGGGATGGAGCAAGTTATGTTGTCTGCAGGTAGCAGATTCCTCTCCTGCTATCACAGGATTGGGGGGTGCAAAACAAACCTCTGGGAAAGCTCAAACAATTGTGTGTGGGGCTGGGGTGCTCAGAGCACAACAGGCATCAGCTTCTGCCTCTTGAATAGTTGCTCCTCTCCAGCAGATCGAGACTCCTGCTTCTGTCCAGAGGCTCCCAGGGAGGAGTTTTACCCTGGGGAGGGAGCACTCCACCTCTATCAAGGGGCAACTGCACACTCTGCTTGCCTGGGAGCCTGCCCATATCCTGCATCTTGACTTTTGGTTACCAGGAAGATGAACCATCATCTCTCCCTCAAAAAAGTTCAGGGAAAAGAGAGAAAACATGAAAAAAAAAAGTCAAGCAGAGCCAGAGAGAGCACAAAGACAGACGGGGAGGCGGTACCTGGCACATGGCCTCCACTCCAGAAATCTTACACACCCACAGGAAGGTATAAATAACTATAAATTTATTAGTAAAGCAAAACCATTTGACACTCACACAGAAGAGCGGGATGTGTTAATACAATATATATACACACACATACATGGAGTATCATCTTAGAAACACACGGAGAGCAGTGTTAAAGGCACTGCAAGCCACACAAACCTCATCAACCTTGGCTGCAACTTCCCACAGCCCTGGGGACTCTGCCGGAGTCATGAGTGAAGATTAGGAGGAGCCTGAGAACCTCACTGGCCATGACGCCCCTCAGATCCACGGCTCGGAGGCATTCAGAGACAAGCCCACGGTCCAGCTCCCACCTGTGGTCCTGCTCTCCTCACTGAGCATCCCAGGCATGCTGTGAGAGCAGCATCTTCACGTCCAGAAAGCAGCAGGGCAGTGGAGGAGGCCTGGCAGCTGGGGAGAAGCTGTGCTCTCCTGGCCCGGGGGGAGCTGCCAGCCCCAAACCTTGGCCTGCCCTTATTGCATCTTGGCATCTCACCTGTGTGTGCAGGAACCTTCCCGCAGGTGAACTCACCACCCAACAGAGAGAGTCAGACTCTGAAGGATAACAAGGGGTTTTCGGCTGCAGCCTGGACTTAATGGCAAATACCCAAGGGAAGCGTAGAAAGTGCTCTCCACCCTGCTCTCCTCCCTGCAAGGGCTGGCTTGAGCACCCAGAGATGGTCCCAAAACTCTGTCAGAGGACACCTTCCCCTTCGCCCCCCACTCCAGCAGGTGTGCCCCAAGAGCAGAGTGTGCACATCTCCCCACCCAGATCACAGGGATGGTGTCTGCTTGCTGGAGCGCTGGCAGGGCCACCCGGGCATACCCATGGTCCCAGGGGTGTCCATGCCACAGTGAACTCAGCTCAGCCACCTGCTTGATGCACACAGATGCTCCACAGGCACTCCCAGGGGAACTGAGCAGCCCAAGCCCACCCCAGTGCTATGACTTCTGTCCTGGAACGTCTGACAGTCCTTCACTGACCGAATCCCCAGCCTTGAAGAGCTGGCAAAGGAACCCACCAGGGAAATGGTTGCTCTCACCCCCAGTGCCCATTTCCTACAGCTCTGTTCTGGCTCCTGGTCCTGGCTTAGACTTGCTCACCAGAGCCAGATGTACCATGGACAAGATCTGGCCGAGCCAAACTGCCAGGCCACAGGCATTGCCCATGTCCAGCCAGATGGATGACCTCATGTGGAGGAGGACCAGAAGCATCCACTGGATTCCATCAAGATTCCATCAAGATACCTCACCGTCAGTGGTTTGGTATCACCTGGATCCAGCCTCAGCCTTAGAGAGGAATTTGGGGCTGAGGGGGGGGGAGGTGGGAATGAAGGAAGAGACTTCACAAGCAAAATGGAAAAAGGGATGAAAAATAAAACACTGTTTACAATTAAAGAACTGAACAAAGGGAAAAGGAGCTGAGAAGGTCTTTTAAAACTATAAGCAAAATAGATGTGGAGCGGACGAGGCTGAGACATGGCTAAAGGCATCCTGTAGGTAGGGTAAGGGGAAGTGAAGATCAGAAAAAAGCCCAGGTCACAGACTACCTTCTTCCTGGACTCAGGAAGCCAGTAGCCCTAGAGAGCAGGATTTATGTGCTGGACAACATCCACATCACCTCTGCCCAGCCTAACCCTCCCTGCTGCCTCCCAGGCAGCACCCTATGCTCAGGCTGCCTGCTAAGAGAACCACCCTTCAGGAGGGACCATCCACTGCCCAGCCCTACAGAGCATCCTCAGGGGGTCTGGCAACCAGGTCTTGAAGCCAAGCACGAGCACTTGCCCCAGGGCTGATGCAACACCAGCTCCAGCACATCCCTCCTGGGTGTGAGGGATGCGAGAGGCCAAGTGGAGGCAGCGTGAAGAAGCCTGAAAGTCGCTTGAAATAAATGTCAGAAACTAAGTGCAGCACAGGTACAGAGTAGAAACACGTTTTACTCCCGAGAGGCTTTGGCCACAACTGCTCTTTGGTTTGAAAAGAAAACACCAGCAGTTAGCAGAGAGCCCTTTGCAGTGTAATGCCCCAGGGACATCAGCTCCCAGGCCAGCCCCTGCCTCCCCACAAAGTACTGCGCTCCTGACACTCGTGTGCCTCCTGCTACTTCCATCACCTCTCACCTCACGGTACAAAACATGACCTAAAGGCACAGCAACGGAGATCAACCTGCTCCCCCAGCCCACCTGTACACAACACTGCTGCTTCCAGCTAGAAAATGCTCCTATAAAAATACACCCGAGTGCTCCTGGTTGGCTGCTCAGCTGCCTGCTCCACAGAGATCCTCCAGCCCCCAGCACTAAGGTCTGGCAGCTGCAGCCTCCATGGGCTTCTACTGGATTTGGGCTGTTGCAGGGCAGCAAACAGGATAGAGAGACTGAGTCACCATGGGCTCACAGCCAGACCTAATAATGACGTTCTAATGCCGCACTAAGATGTTTTTGAACCAGGAGGCACCTACTCACAGGTACTGCCTGAAGACCTGGACCTGGGCTCGTCCCTGCCAAGCTCTCCACAGCATCCCCTTTATCCCAGCCACAGGGCCCTAGGCACACGGACCTGATCAGTCTCTCTGGCCAGGACACTGCCTGGCTGTTGCCATGTCCTAAGCAGAGCCAGAGCTCCTCACTGGGACATCCAGGGCTTTCCCAGTTGCTCACTACAAAGGGAAACATTCCCCAACAGTCCCTATGCCCAGCTGATACCAAGGGGACAGGATCTGGCAGCTCTGTGGCCAGCACATGGTGTGGAGCTGTGTCTGGGGCCCAGCACCATCCTCCTCTGTCCAAGAAGCAGGTTCAGGTGGGTGCCACACTCCCCATCTGGTCCCACACTCACAACCTCCCTGACCACCAAACCCTTCTGCAAAGACAGGATTAGCCTTCCTTGGTTTGGACTTCCTTTTACTCCTACAGAAAAGCATACACTGAACTTACTACGTATTAAACAGCAAAAAACAGCTACCTAGAACCAAAGAGCTCTTTAAAAATCCAGGTTATCACATCTTTTTTTTTTTTAAAGATCCAGTATGACATCAAGTTAAACTACACAGTATTTTTAATGAATGCTTTAAAAAAAAGGCAAAACAAAAAAAGAAAAAAAGAGGAAAAAGAAACATAGATGGAAAACTTTGTAGAAGTTCTACATCTTTGAGGCAGCATGAAGTAAAATAACCACCATCAGTCCTTCTTCCTTGGGCAGCAGAGAGCAAAGTCTGCTTTAACCTCTTTAAAGCTGCACACGAAGAAGACTCAGCCCCAGGGTCTGACCTGTCACTGCACTGTCCCAGCCCCTGAAAATGCACCCCATTCCCCCTCACCATGCTGGAAATGGAAACTAAAGCCTTTTTTCACCTTTCATATGAGCGTCCCCCACCACTGATGCAGGTCCAGTCCAACCCTCTGCAAGTTTAACCTGTCCACGCTTGCCATGGAACCTTATTAAACTCATCCTACTCACTCGTGCAGCACGTGGGCAACTTCCTGGCTGCTGTTCACTACTTGCAGCTCATCACAACCTCACACAAGCACCAGCCAAGATCACAGAAGAGCTGAGGCTGGCAGGGACCTCTGAAGATCATCAGGTCCAACTCCCTGCTTGCACAGGGTCAGCGACAGCAGGTTGTTCAGGACCACATCCAGTCAGGGCTTGAGTATCTCCACAGATGGATACTTAACATCTTAGTATCTCCAAAGATGGAGAGGGGAAGGCTGGTGGGCAACCTAGGAAGCACATCTTCAGCCTTCAAGGCATCTAACTGGCATGTAATGGATCCCTCGGTCACGAGAAGCCAGAAAATTCCTGCAGAGGAAAACACCTGAGGCTGCATCAACCTTGCTAGGGGAGATTTATTTTTAAGTGATGTTTACAAGAAGTGTGCAAAACCTGAAAAATACAGAAGAGGTAAAGAAAGAGTAAAGGGGTAAAACAGGACTCCTGCGAGATGGGAAAAAAAATACACTCCTCCTTTACCCACTGGTAACCTTGCCCTCCCTGTGGAGCCAAGCTTGCAGGCCTGGGAGGATTCTCCTGCCTTGCTCTGGTTCCCCCAGCAAATCAGACACCAAGGCCCCTGCACACGCCGTGGGTTACTGTCGGTGATGGCAACACCTCTGCAGCTGTAGGTTATTAGTAGTGTTCATCTCACCCATTAGTGTTTTTGCTGCTGGGACAGCCCTTTGCCTGACCCCCCTGGAGGTACCACTAACAGCCCAAGGGGTGCTCAAGGGGCCTAGGGGCAAGTCTGGGCAGGAGAGCTAGATCCCTCAGGAAGCAGCTCTTAAATGCCAGGGTCTGTCTTGGCTGGGAGCAGGGCATGGATGCTCTCACAGAATTATAGAATTTTTAGCGTTGGAAGGGACCTCTGGAGATCATCTAGTCCAACCCACCTGCCAAGGCAGGGTTGCCTAAACCATGTTACACAGGAATGCCTCCAGACAGGGAGAATCCATGACCTCCCTGGGCAGCCTGTTCCGGTGCTCCTTGCCATGCTCTCTGGTAGCAGTGCAGCACTTGCTACAGTTTCCCATGCAGCTGACAGGGACTGGGGGGACCCGCAGGCTCCCTCAGAACCCTTGCAGAGTGTGACAGCCAGCGACTGCAAAAGCAGCAATGCCAAAGTGCTTTTTGGAGCTGTGCAGCCCCATGGCTTTTCCCTTTCAACACTCTAGAAGGAGGGAGAGCAGGGGAGGTCGGGGCAGTCAGTCAACACTAACGCTCTGAAATGGTGCCCTCAGCTGAGCTTGGACCAAGGAAGGTGGGAGATCCCAGCAGCTGAAACCTGCTACTTCCGTGCCGAGCAGCACACCTCAGGAGAAGAGAGGGCTGGCTCTGCCTTGCTCCTAAGCTCTCTCCAGGAGGAGAGTCACCCAGCCCTCCCCACCAACCCCCCCAGGCAGGGCAGGGGAAAAAGGCTGCACACAAGGGGCTGGTGCCTGTAGCAGGCAGCTGAGCTCCCGGCACTGGAACTGCAGGTACAGCGTGAACTACAGTCCAGGGAACGCCAGGCACCTACAGGCAGTTTCCTCTCTCCACCTCCCTCCCTTCCTTTCCACCCCTTCACGATGTTCACGTCGTCTGTTGCCACTTCAATACAGGCGGCATATCAACCACAGAGGCCAGAGGAAAGTTTACCTGCCCACACCCCGTACCTCCCCTTTCCCCCACACTCCCTGGAGGTTGTCCACGACCGAGGAGAGGGAAGGGGAGGCCGAGGCCCGGGAGCGTCCCATGCAAGCTGAAAGCTGCCGCGGGGCGGGAGGCTCATGGCAAGCAAGCAGCCACCTGGTAGGCGCCCTCGGCCGTGTGCTGGACGCTGTGCTCCTGCAGCAGGCCCAAGTCCAGGAACCGTTCCCCGCACCACATGCACTTGTACTGCTGCTCCCGGGCGTGCACGCTGTGGTGCTTGTTGAGGTGCTCGCGCTGCTTGAAGGCCTTCTCGCAGGAGGAGCACTTGTAGGGCTTCTCGCCCGTGTGCACGCGCCGGTGGCGCTGCAGGTCCGAGGCGTACTTGAACCGCTTTTCACAGTCGGGGCACTTGAGGGGCTTCTCGCGGGCCGGGTCGCAGCGGTGCTGCACGAACTCCGAGGAGGAGAAGAAACGTCTCTCGCAGAGCGTGCACTTGAGGGGCTTCTCGGCGCAGTGGGCCAGCTGGTGCTTCTGCAGAGCCGAGGCCCGCTTGTAGGACTTGTTGCACACCGCGCACTTGAAGGGCCGCTCCGCGTTCTGCACGCACTTGTGCCGCAGCAGTTCCGAGGACTGGTTGAAGCCTTTCTGGCACACGTTGCACTTGAAGAGGTTTTCTATGCCGTGCACGTGCTGGTGGTACACCAAGTGCGAGGGCTGCACGAAGCCCTTCTCGCACAGGTTGCACTTGAAGGGCTCCTCGGCCTTGTGCGTGCGGCGGTGGCGCATGAGCGCATACTGCTGCTTGAAGCTCATCTGGCAGAGGTCGCACTTGAAGGGCCTCTCCTCGCTGTGCGTGCGCTCGTGCTGCCGCAGGTCCGAGGGGCGCTTGAAGGCCTTCTGGCACTCCCCGCAGCGGAAGGGCCGCTCGCCGCTGGGCGTGCAGGGGTGCTGCAGCAGCTCCGAGGACTCCTTGAAGTGCAGCTCGCAGACGTTGCACTTGAAGAGGTGCTCCCCCGAGTGCGCGTACATGTGGCGCACCAGGTGGGAGCGGTGCTTGAAGCTCTTCTCGCACACCGTGCACTTGTAGGGCCGCTCCGAGCTGTGCGTCCGTTTGTGGTGCACCAGGTGGGACGACTGGCTGAAGCTCTTGTCGCACAGCGTGCACTTGTACGGCTTCTCGCCCGTGTGGATGCGCTCGTGCCGGGACAGCTCCGAGAGGTGCTTGAAGGTTTTCTGGCAGATGGAGCAGCTGTAGGGCTTCTCCGAGGGGTCGAGAGGCTGCGGATGCTCTACCTCAGGAGGCTTGTAGGTCTTCTCACAGATAGAGCACTTCATGGCGTTGCCGTTGTGGACGTTGTGGTGCTGCGCCAGCGAGGTGAGGAGGGAGAAGCCCATCTTGCAGACCCCGCACACAAAAGGCTTCTGCTCCACCTGGATGCACTGATGTTCGAGGAGGTCGGTGGCCTGGTGGAAAATCTTCAGGCACTGGGTACACTGGAAAGAGCGGTCATGGCCTGGCAAGCACTGGTGCTCATGGGGGTTGGAGAGGTGAGTGAGGTCGTGGCCACACACACCACATTTGTGGGATGGGTCTCCAGCCTGGATGGGGGCGTGCTGGTGGTGCTGCAGTCCAGGGTCTGGCTGGAGCAGGATGCCGTAGACGGCGCAGCCCAAGGGGTTGTCAGCAGTGCTGGGTGGGATGGAGTGCTCTGGGAGGGCGGCTGCCCCAGCGTGGTGCTGCTGCGGTGGCGGCGGCTGCTGTGGTTGCTGCTGCTGCTGCTGCCAGCTTTCTGACATGCTTGGGAAAAAAAAACGGGATTTTAGCAGTGATAGCTTCAGCTTCCCAGTTGAAAGGGTTCAAGTAAAACCAAAATCAAAAGATTCCAAGATCCTGATTCCCCGTAGCTGATCCCCTGAAGCTGAGGGCAGAAACTCCAGCACACAGCAAGGATCTTGGGAAGAAAAGAAGTGACTCCAGAGCCTCCTCCTTGGATCAGCACAAGTTCTTTGTGGACTGATTTGGTTTGGCTTTTTCTTTTTTTGGACAAAAGAACAGGAGGCAGAGGTAAGTGCCTTGAAAACAAGAGAAGGCCTTTCTCCGTGCTGGCTGCGATGCGCTCACATTTGGGAAGGGCACAGGAAGCAGCCCAGGGAGCAGCTCTCTCTGCAAGAAAGAAGACAGCTCATGTCAGGTCTTGGAGGAAAGAGGGGCAATTCTCTATCGACCTCTCCCCATGGCTCTCTTTGAAAACTCTCCTGTGTCCCTGCAAAGCTACCAGGAAGGCAGTGTGAGGGAGCTAACCAGAACCAGAGCCCCCTTTGCTGCTCTGCGAAGGGCCCGGGACAAGGTGTGCTCAGCCTGGAAAGGGTTGGGCTCTGCTTGGCTGCAGCCAGGGTATTGTGCCCTCAGGAGAGGCAGCAAAACTGCCCAGGGCCTGGTCAGCTCAGCCTTACCCCGTAGGCTGTGGGTCACTGGATCTCCCAGTGCCGCTGGGGCACTGGCTGAGAACATGGGTCTCTCTGCACAGGCTGTGCACCAAACGCCGTGCAATTAAGAAGCTACTGAGTTAGATTTTACAGGTGTCAAGGCAAATCCCAACCTGATCCCACCCCAGCTGAAACCGCCTTGTGAAGCAGTTCTGCTCCTCCCGCAGCTTGGATATCAGGCTCATCACCCAAGGGATGTGTGCAAGACATTTCCCCCTCTCTGGGCAGCGCTTGTAGACTGGGAAGAGCCAGAGAGCTCAGGAGACGGTTTGCCCTCAATGTTATCTTAGCCACAGACAGAACACAGAACCCACAGGGATCACTCTGTGAAGATAAAAGAAGAGTTAAAGCAATGGCTCGGCTGAACTTCCTACCAAACCACGGAATAAAAGCACCCTAAAGTCAAACAACCTATGCCAGAGCTGCTGCCTGGCCTTACTATACAGCATCACCAGGATTGTGCACACTGAAAAGTTCCAGTCTTTCTAGAGATGTCCAGTAAAACTTGGCATCAACTTAGAGAAGAGTAAAACCCACCAGCGAACAGCAGACAGCAGCAGCGTCAACACAGCTCAAGAGAGAAGGAAGGTGCAGGCCCTGGCAAGCAGGTAACATGCCTGGGCCTCGAGCCCCCAACCCCACAAGTGCACACCCAGGTGTGTGTCAAACCACGTGCCCTCAGGGTAAGGAAATCCTTGGTCTTCCAGGTTATGTTTAAAACTAAGCAATGAAGAGCACCAGAGAACCTCAATTCCCAGCATCCCCACCTCCTCCGGCGCTCAGCTGAGCCTGGATCGTGCCCCACAGCTTGGGCAGTGCTGGACCCGCCTCTGCCTAAGGGGACACTGCGCTACTTTGTCCTCCAGCACAGTTACGCCAGTAAAATGCCCAAAGGCCCCATCGCAGCCCTGCTGGCGCCCCTCCTTCTCCTAGAGAGCTCACCTTGACCGCCGGCACGAAGGGAGGCTCGCAGGGTCCCGAGCTCGGCGGGGCACCAAACTTCAGCACAGCCCAGGCCCCACCTTCCCCCGGGCACCGCGAACCGCGGCAGGAGGAACCTACCGGCGCCGCATCCCGGCCCGCCGGGGGGGGAAACGCGTGTTCCCCGCGGGGCAGAGCGATACCAACCTTGGCTTACCGAGGGCTCTGCGCGGGGACCCGCGTCGGCGCCGGCTCCAGCCTAACTCATCCCTCCGTGGGAGGTGGGAAGCGACAACCATTTAGGGAGCGCGGTCGGGAGCGCAGAGGTACTTTCAAACTGGCGAGGCGGCCTTGCTCGGCATGGCCCGGCCCGCTCCCGCCGGGCCCGGGCCGCCTCAGGGCCGCGGGGCGCGGGGGCGGCCGAGGAGCTCGCAGGCCACCGGCCACCGCCGCCGCCGCAGCCCGCGGCCAGGCCCGGCCCGCT